TATATATATATATATATATATATATATATATATATATATATATATATATATATATATATATTACTACTTATGATTATTGCAAAAAGTTAAGAAGTAAAATAAGGAAAATTAAAAATAGAATTAATTATGAACATATAGCACACAATTGAATCGTGGGTAATATATATTTTCAACTAAATTACTTTATAAGTATTCTTTTTTATCAATTTAATAATTAATAAAAAATTTACTAAGATAAAAATAAAAAATATAGAAGCATATTTCAAAGAGAGATATATAATGATTTTCCATTTTTGTATACCCAAAAATAAGAATCAAATTTTCAACGAATTAAAATTTTTTATATTACTTAATATTTCTATACACCATCAATTCTTATAAATCTTAACACTATCCACCGGCAAACTAGCGAGGAAAAAAGAGTCAGCAAGAATTAACGCACTGGGAAAAAATTTAATGAAAAACTGAATATGGTAATCATTGCTATTAAAATCATCGAAAATAACGTAATTTTTTGCAACCAGTTTATAAAGCGTGTAGGCAAAAGTTACACAATCCATGCAATTTATTTGAAAACTGTACATTTAAAATGCAACTTTAATCGAAGACAATTATTTTCACATTTTGTTTTTTATTGCCACAAATCGATACCAATTGTTACAAGCTTCTTCATTCCAATGATGAAGATATCCACTAATCGAAATCTACTACTGGTATTCTATCACCAATTTAAGTGTAACATTAATCAGTGACTAATAAATTTCAATAGATACGACGTAAATTAATAATATATCTTATTGAAATTAGAAAATAACAAAATTAAAAATGGCAATATGTACGCCAACTTTTTGGTTATAGTACATTAGGAAAAATAGTACGAAATAACACTCAGTTTTGAACTTCGTTTTTGAATTCGATTCAAATAATCATTATATCAAAACGACCGATTTCGAAATCGATGCATGAATCGGTTCCAGTAACTATTTTGGTCATGAAAAATGGTACAGTTGACATTATAGACATAGAATAAACTTCGAGTTGCTACAGGTAAGGATACAATAATTCGATAATATCGAAATATCGATATATCGTCAAAATATCAATACCGATCATTTATCAATATTCTACTTCAATGTTCTATTTTCTAACAAATTGTGTCAAGAAAGGTTTCGGACACCCTGTATAGTTATATCGATATCAATTTCAACGATATGTTGTGATTTGCTATTTATCTCATTTATTCAGGATTCAAACTGAATAACTAGGATTTCAATCAATCCAATATTAATTAATTCTGCTTACGATTAAAGAAGCGTATAATCTTTACAGGAAGGTTTCACAACCGCTCGGGGATCGTTTTATATTTACATTTTCTTATGTATTTTTTTTTCGTAGAAACCAAAAATCATTATTAACGTATAATAACGTCAGACTTAAGGAAAAAAGGTATATACATATAAAGTAGAAAAAAATGCTATTTACGTCGTTATAGAATCGCTGCCAATTATACTTCAATAATTTAAAAATTCAAAGATAAATTAAATACGAGTAATATTGCATCGTAAAACGTTAATTAGATTATATTTAGATATTTTTTACTATAACATTAAAGCGGCCGTGTTACGATTCGATATATGAATATCGTGAACCACACCGTGCGGCAGATAGTGACTTTGAGAGTAAAACTAAATAAAAAGATCTGTATGTATGTTTATTAACACGCGCGCGCGTGTTTTAAAAGTTTTATCGAAAAACCTCACTATAAAAAGATATTCAGGAGTTCCCACATTTTTAAGACACCCTGTATATATATATTCTTGCACGTACGCGGATATATATATATATATATATATATATATATATATAT